CTTTATTGGTTTGTTTTTTATTGGGCACTAATAGTTTTTTTAATGGGCACTTTTAGTTTTTTTTTTTAGTGGGTACTCATATTTTTTTTTCAGTGGGCACTCAAAGTATTTTTTAGTAGGAACTCAAAGTTTTTTTTTCAGTGGGCACTCTTTTTTTCGTCGGCTTTATACATTTCTTAAGGGCACTTAAAGATTTTTTTTGAGAGAGAAGTGTAAAATAGATTGCTTCAAAATAATCCATAATCAATATTTTCCAAATTGTAGAAGCAAAAAATATTTTATATTTATAATTTTCAGAGTAAAGCTCTCTATTGTCCATTAACCAATTTTAAAAAAAATCAAATTTCAACTAAATAAGTATTTTAAAGTAAAGAACTTTTTATTAGAATTCCTAATCAGTAATTTTTTCAAATAGTTGGTTCAGTGGACCTTAAAATGTATCTATTTTTATATATCCTGTATACAGTATACACCCTGTATATACCTACTCTTGTATATCTCCTGTATACACCCTGTATATTGTATATACCTACTTTTGTATATATCCTGTATGCACCCTGTATGTGAATATAACTAGACTCTTGTATATATTCTGTATACATCCTAGTGTATAGTGTATATACCTACTCTTGTAGATATCCTGTATACACCCTATGTGTATATGCTTACTCTTGTATATATCCTGTATACACCCTGTTATATCCTGTATACACCCTGTATGTGTATATACCTAGACTCTTGTATATATCCTGTATACATCCTAGTGTATAGTGTATATACCTACTCTTGTATATATCCTGTATACATCCTAGTGTATAGTGTATATACCTACTCTTGTAGATATCCTGTATACACCCTATGTGTATATGCCTACTCTTGTATATATCCTGTATACACCCTGTATAGTGTATATATCTACTCTTGTATATATCCTGTATACACCCTATGTGTATATACCTAGACTCTTGTATATATCCTGTATACACCCTTTATAGTGTATATACCTACTCTTGTATATATCCTGTACATACCCTGTATAGTGTATATACCTACTCTTGTATATATCCTGTACATACCCTGTATAGTGTATATACCTACTCTTGTATATATCCTGTATACACCCTGTATAGTGTATATACCTACTCTTGTATATATCCTGTATACATCCTGCATGTATATCTTTGTATATATATATGTAATAAATACCGTGGCAAATCCCAAAGTTACACTTAATATATTACGTTGTACATTGTCTGTAAATCTAAATGCGCTTATCATTAAGTATGCAAATCTTGTATTGCGATTAACCTAACCTAGCTACGTCTGCAAATAACTATGTCAAACCCGTATTGTGATTAGCTTAACTATGTTGGTATATAACGACGCAAAACTTGTAATAATGTCTATTAAATTAACCTAGAACCCAAAATAAATTCAGTTGGAATTAGACTCCGTAATTGCTTCTTGGTTTGCAAAAGAGAAGCGTCCTGAATCACCTTCTTGAAAGAGATATATAGATTGGGAACTGGTTCAGATAAATCGTGTCCAGATTGACATTTATAGTAAAGTATTGTTGAACTTATTAGTTGTTATGCCTCGCCGATCATAGCGTGAGGGATTGAGTATTGGTACATATAAATCATGTCCAGATTGACATTGATAGTAAAGTGTTATTGAACTGATTAGTTCTTATGCTTCGTAGACCAACGATAGGGATTGAGTTGTACCTAACTGATCTAAAAGACTTTTATGGAGTAGGGCATTTACTACATATAAAAAGAAAAGAAAGAAAAGTATAAACTCTGTCAATATTCTTTTCTCCTGTAATCTTTCCTCTCAAGTCCCCGAGCTTGATTTATATAATCTTTTTCATCCATCATTTCTTTTATTCTTTTATTTATTATCTTTAGAACTTATAGTGCTTCACCCCCTCCAATCCCCCTCCTCAATTCATATCAGCTATGGTTGATCTATTTTTGACTTTTTTAGAATATCATGACCGAATTTTATAAAACCCCAAAAGGCAGTTTTAACATTATTTTTTTCTTGAAAAAACGTCCCTATTTGGGTTCAAAAGTTGGAGCCGGTGAATTTATGTTGGTTTTGATATAGTTTTTTGCATAACTCTAGGTTTTAATTATAATTCGTTATTCTTACATTTCCTCAATAAAGAAGAGTCTTTAATTTCCATATTTTTATCTAAAAAAAAATCACCCCCCCACCCTTTCAAATTCCAACGATTTTGATGATTTTCCCACCCCCTAATTCTATACAGCTAAACATAAGCCTGAATATATCTTCTAAATAGAAATACAAGGATTATATTTCTGATAATATATTATATTATGAATATTGGATGCATATATTTATATTTTAGACTGTAATATACGCCATAACTGTATTAGGTATATTCATATCTACCCTCAATATAATACCCCCCCCCCC